CAGTAAGGGGGAGAAAGGCAACATTTCAATTCAGAATTGAGGAAGGGAAGAGAGGGCCAAGCTAATATCAGAAAGGGGTATGATAAATATGGATGTGGGACATAAATGGAGGGCTTGAAGGAATAGGGAAAATAGTAGGAGAAAGGTACATTTGTTTACAGCAAAAGAGGAGAACTACCAATGGCAGGGTTAGAAGAAGCATTCTTTTTGCATGACCCTGTTTTGGAACAAACAAAGAGATTCCAGTCTAAAACATTTCTTAGCTAACTGTTTTAATTTTCTTGATACAATTGATCAGGATGAGCTTTCATGCAACAGCAGTGATAATACAGGTGGGTTCAAGTTACTTGCAAACTCTGATTTGCATTTATCAAACTGTTAATAAAACACCACCATCAGCTGTGTCTATTCTCCAAACACTTCATTTTGACAAGGCTGCCAACGATATTTTGTGACAATATATTTTCCTTGACATCATGTATCAAACACACAGTTGGTGTAGCGGATTCCAGCCCAATAGGCATGACAGAATGAAAGGTTATCTTATTTTGACTATGTACACAGTATCCCCAACATTAACAAGGGTAAACTGGTTATCAAATGATTATTCATTCTCCAATACCTTGGCCCAAAGACTATTTCCTAGAACAGATGAGAAATGTCCACTATAGCCATTTTGCCTGAACAGGAAAAAAGCGGTGTGGAAGCTGAGAGAGAATTATTGACTTTAACTGTGGCTGTTAACTACACTATTGCTTCTCCTGTTTATACATAGCTTTGAGTATGCTGTTTGCAATCAGTTGTTTCAGCAATATATTATTACTCATATATTTTTAATCACACATCATAATTGTTTACATATGCTAGTTTATTAAAAAATAATAAACAGGAAATATTTTTTATCATATCATCCACTTTAAAATATTTTTGGTTTGCTTGATTGTGTCAGTACATCATACATCTATGTGCCCTGTGTGTGTGTGTGTGGGGGGGTTATATGAAATATACATGCATGGGCTAATTTTTGACTATGTCTGGAGTATGTGTAAGTTCAGAAGCAGACTACAAGGAATGAGAAGCAAGGGTAAGTTCCGCTTCTGTAACCAGCCATACATGTCCTCAAAAATTTGCAAGTTATGTGTAAAGATCTTAAGCATAAAATTTGACTGCTTGTGATTAAGGTCTGCCTGTGGGTAGTTATGTTAAGTACACCAATGCCATACAAATTACATTTTAAAACAGCATTAGAGCTTGAACAAGAAGGGGGACCCGCGATACTCGTGGGGGGGTGAGAAGCTCCACGGGAGAAGGAAGCAGCTGCAGGTGAGCCTTCTCCCTTGTCGTCCCCGGCACCCACGGCGAGGCCCATGTCCCTCCAAGCTTCCCCCCTCCCCTAGCAGCAGCAAGGCCTTGATGGTCCGCCGAACTTTCTCCCTCCCTCCCTCCCTCCCTCCCCGGCAGCAGCAGCGAGGCTTTGCCAGCCTGCCAAGCTTTCTCCCTCCCCTCTCAGCAGCGGTGGCAAGGCCTCACTGGCCCGCTGAACTTTCTCCCTTCCCCTCCCCCGGAGGCGGTGAGGCCTCACCGGCCTGCCAAACTGTCTCCTTCCCTACCTCCCTGGCAGCAGCGGTGGCAAGGCCTCGCTGGCCCGCCAAACTTTCTCCCTCCTCCCCGGGCGGCGGCGAGGGCTGAGCGGCTTATAGTCGCCGGCTGGCCAAGCCTTTTCCCCCTCCCCCTCTCTGGTGGTGGAGGCGGTGGCGAAACCATTCTAAGAGCATTCCCTGCGCATGCACAGGGGATGCTCTTTTACTTTTGGGGGGATTTAATTATCCCCCCTATATTTTTTTACAGTGTTCAGATTTTTCTGCACACCTGTGCATTGCCACACGTGCGCAGGAAAATCTCCCTGCCCCCCAGGTGCCCCCGATGTGCAGATTTAGATATCTGCACACAGGGGGCGCCTTGGGAATTAAATATATAGATGAGTGAGAAACTATCCATGCTCATAATGGAAGATATTTTAATTGTGGTATTCTGTAGCCTTCTACTGGAATCACTGGTATACTCAATAACACAGTGAATGTAACTGATGAGCAGACAGAGTACTTCTTCATGCATTTGGATATTTTTATATAGTTGGAATAGTTGGAAGGGATTCAGCCAGTATATGTTGGATTTGTGTGTTGGGTGGGGTAAGAGACAGACTAATGGACAGTACCTGCTGGGGTGAAGGTGAAGGACTGAACTGCAAAACAAGAAAAGTAAATACATTGTGAGTTACAAACCTCAATAAGAAGTGCCAGTTAAAGGGTATGCGTGTTTCTCAGAATTGACCAATGTATGTAGTTTAAAATTATGTGCAGTTTCTAGAAACTCAACACTAGCCAGCCAGCAGCCCATGAGAAATAATGGGTTGGAAAAAAGTGAATGATGGAATTTGACAATTACATTAAATGGTGACCGGTTTAAGATGGTCATGCAACCTGCCTTATAGATCGGGTTTGAAATGTATAAGTGTTGAAATGTTACTCTTCATGATCTCTCATTGTCAAGCAAATGCATCAATTAATAAACAATTCAGTGACAATACAACAACCAGCCAGTAGACACTTATAAAATGTCATGAGCAACAATACCATATATGTATTTCTGGCAATGAGTTTCTGCACTTATTTTTTTCACCATTTTGATACTGTCAAATGGTTTATGGTTGTCATGTAGGGACCAAATGTTGTACATGTTTCATGGCAAATTTATTGTGCACAGATATTTACATATATGATAAGATCACAGGATGTTATGACAATTTTCATAGAAACATGCTATCTGATATCATATGGGGAACACAACTCAATATATGAAAACGTTAACAACAAAGAACTAGGCATGGAATTTATTTAGCACATCTGATCTATGTGAAAGTGTAAGATAAAGGACTGTACCTGCTAAATGCCTAATGTCTTATTAATAGTAGTCTAAAATAAGGATGTGACAGAACATTGCAGCCTTCAGGATCAGTAATATTGTGCATCTAACTTCTAAATAGAACTTAGTGCTTCATTTAACAAAACAAGATCAGAGAGAGCAGACGTGACCATCATGTATATGCACATTAATTAAAAGGAAAGGAAGAAAAACATGTGCAAACAGCGTAGCATATGAATAATGTTGCTTCACCATGATGGTCATTTGAGCTCACTGTTTGTAATTAATAAGAAATCAACAGGATTCTAGAATAAGATTTGTGTGGCACAATGCCAGAAGAAAACATGCTTCAATTGTCATGAATGTATTAATCACTGGATTTTTTTCCCTTGGGAACAACAATTCATTGATGGCTGAATTCTGTAAAAATACAGAGGTTATTCTAACACAACAGTATGGATATAGTGCCTAGCCTTTCAGCTGCATATCAAACTATACTCAAAGAAAGGGATTGTTTTTTGTAAAAAAAACCCCTCTTGCTGTTTTTGCATTGGCTTTCACTCAATTGTGAACTAAGGTTAATGTTGTATAGGCACAGCATCTTATTGCAGAATGTTGCTGGACATGATATATTTTGAAGGCATACATCCTCAAGATGCTTTTACCTTGTTTCTAGAATATGGGTATATAATTTCATCCAGACACAAATAACAAACACAATGAAATAAAAAGTCATAATATAGAGGTTCCACTATACATGCCAGGGTATCCCCATTTCTTTTATGAGCAGGGGATTACATCATGCATGCAACTGGAAAGTCCCGTATGCCCTTGGATAACAATCCAAAGCCTTTAAAATACAAAAGAATTGGAAGCCTTGTTCTCAAGGTTAGAACAGTGGCTGCAGTAATAAAATGACTGACTACCATGCAACTGGGTCAACTTCACCATTACTGAATAGATCCCCATTTACATACTCATGATCTGTGGAACCAAGCGATTTATAGCATTACTCTAAGCAGAGCTATAGAAAAGAGCAGACTAACAAAGTATGTGGCAGGGTATGAGCTTTTTTGACTTACTGCTCAGTTCTTCAGAAGTGAACTCACATCTCATATCTGAAGAAGTGAGCAGTGACTCACGAAAACTCATATCCTGCCACATATTTTGTTAGTCGCTAAGGTGCTACTGGACTCTTGCTGTTTTCTACTGCTACAGACAAACATGGCTACCCAACTTGATCTATCTCTAAGCAGAGCTGTAACTTCAAATTCAATTGTCCTAGAAGGGTGTAACTCTGCTTAGGATGGCACCAATGAACAATTATAATAACTACAATATATATCCCCCCAATTTATCTACAACAGTCAAGACTAAGACAAATGGAAGAAGTTCATTAAGGTTAGCCCTGACCTGAATGGCCCAGGCTAGCCTGATCTCATCAGATCTCAGAAGCTAAGCAGGTTTGGCCCTGCTTGGATGGGAGACCACCAAGAAAACTCAGGGTTGCTTCATATAAGCCAGAAATGACAAACCACATCTGAATGTCTCTTGCCTTGAAACCCTACAGGGGTCACCACGTCAGCTGCGACTTGATGGCACTTTCCACCACAAATCATGGTTAAACCCATTGTATCCAATGGGACAGTGCTAAGTCTACTTGAATTGTACAAGAATCACCATTGTATCCAATGGGACAGTGCTAAGTACCCTCGGTCTACTTGAATTGTACAAGAATAATTTTGGGCGCACTCACTTTTGCAGGGACAGTTTGATTTGCAGTCCTTAAAAACTGAGCATAGACATGTGCCTGAGTTCCTTCTACATCAAAAATGTGACTATAAACAGTGCATTCATAATTCTTGGGTTGTGTATCAGATGTACTCATTATATGAATTAAATATTTTCTTGTAGCAATGATGAAATGTATTACAGAGCAATGCACTTGAAGCTCTTCATGTTTCAGTTCTTTTGCAGCATACCCAAGCAAGCAGACAACATTAATCCACTCCAGTCTTCATTTCATTGAGATGCAGTCTTTTGCTACACTTCTATTTATTTAACAGATTTATTCTTACCTGCATAATTGCTGAGTCCCTTCCTCTTCTTTCTGCGCCAGTATAGCCAGATGCTGAAACCCATGAGAATTACCCAGCATGCACCACCAATCCCAGCTATGAAGGCAGGTTGCTTAACCACATCCGTGATTTGCTCTGTTATGCTGTTGCTGTTCTCAGTGATGACAACTTCATTACGCCCTCCTAGAAAGAGAGAGAGATCATATCAAACTGTATTGATAATGCAGAATAACAATAATAGCAAAGATTCTGAAAATTCAAAAAACTCCTTCCCCACTAATATATATGTCTTACTGCGAGAAGGTCAACTAGAAAATCATAGGCTGACTATAGCTCCCAAAATCTGATTGTGAGCAGCATGAAATTTAGCCAATGTATGGTAAAAAGTTAGTCACAATTTTATTCACAAGTAAGATATTTTTTCATGTTATAAAACACAGAAGCAATCCACAGTTTAACATTCACATATGACATTCATGTCATATATAACTGTTATATTTATTTGTAATACTATGCCAATAACTGTAAATCTTTTGCTGCTAGGTGTTGTCATATTTGCTAGGAAGCCTAATCTATCATGAAGGGGTCAGTTTGTGAGGCAAAACAAACTGTGGTCTTCCAGAGGCCTGATCAGGCAAAGGCCTGATCTCTGGATAACAGAATAGCTCTTCCTGAGAATACAAAAATTGGTTGTTCCTATTTTATAAGATGGAAACAGGCATGTAAGAACATAGTGTTAAATGTTGCCTCAAAAATACAACGTAAGCAATTATAATCTTTCTAAACTTGTCAAATAAGATGTAACTAGGGCTGCCAAATCCCCCCGGAGGGCGGATTTCCCCCACTTTGGAGGCCCGATTTCCACCCCCGCGGAATCGGGCCCCGGGGAAAACCCCACCCCCGCGTGCACGTCACAGGGAAGTGACGTCATGACGCCGGGCATGCTGGGGGTGGGGCACAGCCATTTGAGGGGAAAACTCTATGTTTCCCCCTAAAACGGCTGTGCCCTGCCCCCAGCGTGCCCAGCATCATGTCACTTCCCTGTGCCGTGCACGCGTGCCGGGAGCCAGCACAAAGTCCCCCGCCGGCAGAGGTAAGTCGATTTGGCAACCCTAAGGTAAAGGTTCCCTTGCTCGAAAGCCAGTCAAATCCGACTCTAGGGTTGCGGTGCTCATCTCCGTTTCAAAGCTGAAGAGCCAGCGCTGTCCAAAGACATTTTCGGGGTCATGTGGCCGGCATGACTAAACACCAAGGCGCACGGAACGCTGTTACCTTCCCACCGAAGTGGTACCTATTTATCTACTTGCAATTTCTTTCTTTCGAACTGCTAGGTTGGCAGGAGCTGGAACTAGAGACGGGAGCTCACTCCGTCATGCGGCACCCGGGTCTCGAACTGCTGAACTACTGACCTTTCACAGCCTGCAGTTCAGCATCTTAACCACTTGAGCCACCGCAGCTCCTTTGGCAACCTTAATACACAATGGATTGGCTCCTGTGAGGCATTTCCACAGGCACAGAGGATTCTGACTGTGAAATACAATTTTCCTGCCTCCCCCCTCCCATGACAACCAAAATCACCCCTGAAATCCTACTCCTGGAGGAAAGGGGACCCAATAACAGGATTTCAGGGGGCACTTGGGACTGCCAGAAGGCAATATGAAAATCATGCTCCATCTTTCTGCCTGTGAAAACATGGCACTGGATAGACCCCATGACTCTTTATACAATTATTCCCCTCTCATCCAACTGCCATTCATATCTGAAACCTGCACACTAGAAGTAGACAACTGCCAGTTTCAAAAGAACTGGTGATGCAGAAAGCAAATTCATAGTAATACAGTTTCAGACCCCAGCACTATTGAGCCACACAAATAACTGTAGCAAAACACATGTACTGAATGACTTTGCTCTCTACAGATAAGTCATTCCCCTCTTCTTTTAGCCAAGTAACTGGCTGTATACACAATACTTAGTCTACAAAGCTGCTACCAAGTAAATTACAAAATATGTAGGCCAGAATTGGCAAATATTTCAATTAACCAGTCTTTGAAAGGATCACAAAAATAACGTCACCCCCCCAAATCTGCAGCAAGCTGTGACAAATTCTATAGTCATTAAGATGCTCAGTCCCCCAAATAAATTATTGTCTTGACAGCATATTTTGTAGCATAGTTCAGGATTGTATGTGTTTTTCCCCAAACAATGGCACAATTCCCAATCTTTGATATAAATTGAACAATAGACTTGTCAATTTTTTAAAAATATAACTTCCTTGGAATCATAATGCTGTTATTTTATACAACTGTTTGCATAAATCAATCTATATTCTTTAAATTTATCATGAGTGATGACCATAGAGCAAATGGTTAAAATACCGTATAGTGCCTTGCTGAGAAAAACTATGTTTCATAATAAATAAGGTCACCATTTTATTTTCCCCCCCCGGGTTGGTTTTTTGTTTTTTGTTTGTAACAAAGCCAGTGCTATATCAGCACATTGGTTCCAGCCACAGGTAAACTGATAAGGTTACTTGCTAAACAAATGACTAAAAGCTGTGGACATAATTCTCTTTCAGTGGAATCTCTCTTTAATGTGAGGTTACTTCCCTCTTTTATTTTCACAGCCAGAACATAGAAACAAATCTTCTTTTTAAAGGACAGCTACCAAACCCTATCAACATCTGCAGAGGGCAGAAGAAATGAAAGCTACAGTAAACTGCACATGCTTCAGTTCTAGAATTAATCAAAAACCTTATTTTAGCTAACCCTGAAAGCAAAATTCCAGAACAATAAATCAATATTACATGGCAACTCTGTTTATACATATTATTAACTTCATACTAAATCTTTTTAAAATACATGGAGTAATTTCCGAGTCTGTAAGGGTTAGTCTAGTGGTGTCCACAGAAAATTGTTAATGATTGTATTTCATATTTAAGTATTTAATATCACTCTTGGTAATGGGGGTGACCCTTTGCATAATATAAAATGTACTTCACTATTCTCTCTTAAGCAAACAGGAAGCATGAAGTGTCACTTTCCACTCTTCCAATTCAGCCTCTAAATCATTCTGTTTTAAGCAAATGTTATGAAAATCAATTAGAGCTCAACATTTTAAATGAAGGGTGCTTGGGCTGACATTTAAATCTAATTGAAAGTTTGGTACTGCGGTTAAGGATAAAACTGTAATACTATTGTAATTTTAAAAATCCAATAAATAATCTCTATATAATAACCCTCTTAGCGTATTGGCTGTTTCCAGCTCTCCCATTGGCTGTGCAATGTGCTCCATCAGCCATTGGCCTGTCAGCCGCCACTCAAGAGTACTCGCATGCCATCGGCTGGGTGCTGGGTCTGCTCCTCTTCTCCGCCCACTCCCACTTCAGCCACTGTTCCCTGTCAGAATAACTGGCAAACAGCTGTCTTTCCCGATGAAGACAATTCTCATGCTTGGCTCCTCTGTGGAACTAACTTTTCCCTCAGTGGCTATTGGTAGGCAACCAAGCTTGGTTCTGTCAGTAAGGAAGGAAATCCTTTCCAGGTGTTTGTGAGGAACTCATTGGGGCCAGTCCTGACTAGGGTTGCCAGCTCCAGGTTGGGAAATTCCTGGATATTCTGTGTCTAAGGAAGCCAATCTAAGAAAGCCAGAGTTTGGGGAAGGGAGAGGCCTCAGCTGAACAGAATGCCATAGAGCCCACCCGCCAAAGCAGTTATTTTCTCGGGGGGGGGGGCAGAGATCTGTTGTCTGGAGTTCAGTTGTGATACCCGGCAATCTTCAGGCTCCACCTGGAGGTTGGCTACCCTAGGCATAGCAGTTAGTGCTTCAGAGCAGGGTCTGCCAGACCCAGGTTCTTGCTGTGGAATCTGTGATTTCGGACCAGTCACAGACTTTCAGCATAACCCCCTCCCCTGCCCACTGCCAGCTTGGCCACTTTCCTGTCAGAATAAACTGTGAAAATGGCTCTCTCCTGCTTAACTCCACCATGACTGGCTGGCTACTGAGGTGGGCCAGCGGCTGTCAGTCCATTCTCTTCAACCCCCTGTTGTGTGGCTGACTTTCCCCTAAGGTTGCCAATTGCCAGGTGGAACCTGGAGATCTCCCGCTGTTACAATTGATCTCCAGATGACAGAGATCAGATCCCCTGGAGAAAATGGCTGCTTTGGAAGGTAGACCCTATGGCATTATACCCTGCTGAGTCCTTCCCCTCCCCAAACACTGTCCTCCACAGGATTCACCCTCCCAAACCTCCAGGTATTTCTCTACTTAGAGCTGGCAATCCTACTTTCCCCTCAGTGCCTGTTGCTAGGCAACCCAGCTTAGTTCTGTCAGTAAAACAGGGTTGTTGTGCAAGTCAAAAAGGGGAGAGGAGAACAATGTAAGCTGCTTTGGTCCTCACTGCAGAGAAAGACTACCTTTTTTCCTGGGGAACCACTGTTGCCAATCTCCAGGTGAGGGCTGGAGATCACTCAGAATTACAACAGTTCTTCAGATGGCTGAGATCAGTTCCCCTGCAGAAAATGACGGACTCTGTGTCCTTATACTCTGCTGAGATGGCCCCCCATGACAGCCACTGCAATGTAGCAGTCAGGGCTTCAGAGCACGGTAGAGGCTGCAGGTGGTGGTGGGGAGACGGAAAACTGAAGAGTGAGGGGCAGATAACAGTAGGTTGATGCTTGGCTGGGAAGGAGATAGGGTTGTCAACTCAAGGAAATTCCTGGAGACTTGAGGGGTAGAGCCTGGAGAGAGTGGGGTTTGAGGAGGGGTGGGACCTCAGACAGGTACAATGCCATAGACTCCACCCCCCAAACCAGCCATTTTCTCCTGGGGAACCATTGTGGCCAATGGCCAGGTGAGGTAGCAGAGATCAGTTCCTCTGGGGAAAATGGTGGAGTCTGTGTCATTATACCCTGCTGAGGTCACCACGGTGAATTGACGCTGAGTGCCCAAGGCCAGGGCACTCTCCCAGAGCCTTATTCCACAACGGGCCTTATTCCTAGTAAATAAATACATCTGTAATACTAATGTTCACAAACCAGGAGATATCGTTGAGCAACGAGTGACTGACCATTTTGATAACAGAGTGGGGGTTGGTAGGCAAGTCTCTGGTTTGGCAGTGACTTAACTCTGATGTCATAGGGCAGTCTAACCTTGGGAACATGAATACTTAAGGGAAAACTGAATGATCCTGAATTGGAATGTTAAGATAAATGTGCAAAGTTCAGTAAATTAAACCAGGTGCATAGCTAGGAATTTTAAATCAGGAAGATTTAATTTTCTCAAGGGGCACTTAGCACTGACAATGTAGATAGTTTAATTATGTTTGCTGCTCCCGTTTCTCCTGTTCACCCCCTCCCTCCACCCTTGATGGGGGAATAACCCAGGGCCTGCACAAGGCCAGCACTCTCCCTTCTGTTGCTGCTACAGCTGCCTCCTCTCCTTTCTTCTCTAGCTTCCTCTGCTCACTCCACCCCTGGCTCAGCTCACTCACCCCTCTGCTCACTCACCCCTCGCCCCCTCTCCAAGCAGCAGGCCGGGTCCAGGAAGCAGCAGCTGCCACTGCTGCTGCCTTCCATGCCTCGTTCAACCCCCGGGCAACTGCCTGCCCACTGTGGCGCAGCTGTGAGTTCGGCTAGGGCATTTAAAGGAAGTCAGGGGGCCTTTGAAGGGACCTTTGAAGTAAGTTGGGGCCAAAATGCCCCACTGTAGCTATGGGCCATAATTAAACTGATCCAGCACTGGACTAGATTCTATTTGTACCAACAAACAGATTTGTACCAACAAACAAGTAGGTTTGATGTTTGATGTCATTCAGTGCAGACACTTGCTGTTTATGATATGGGTAGAAAGAAACTCTAAAAACAAATGGCAAGTGTGGGGAGGAGATATACAAGACAGTAACAAAGAAGTAGCTGTAATTGTAGAGGCATTAGGTTTCCACGGGCAGCCTGCTGAGTAGCAACTAGGGCTCCAAATGCCATTTACTTTGTTTCCCCATTCCTCTACCCAGCATCCATGCTAGGCTGGTGATGGACTAGTGCCTTACTCTCTGTGCTGTGCAATGCACCTCAAAACAGCATCTGTTATGACTTCAGAATTCCTTTTTAACTAGAAAACAGAATGAAAGAAAAGAAAAACTTTCAAGGGAGTTTGCAGAGGACTATAAAGCCTCCCCCAGGCTCTTCCTTAGAAAAGCTGGTTTCCAAATTAGGTCAATGTACTTTAAAGTTAGCAGCCTAGCAGCTTGCTATATCCTTCAGTGCCTTGCTATTACATGTGAAAAAGTAATAATTCATTTAAATGTCAGAATAACATATGCTTTGTGATTTCAGCAGCTGAACATAAATGAATATGGATGTACGTTTCCCATTGATGTTCAACAGAATTAATGTAAGTGTTAAGATTCAGGGGAAATGGCATTAATTTAGTATTGCTATGTTGTATTTAATCAGAAGATATATAAACGTATGTAGGTGTCAGGCAATGTATCAGCGTATTACTTTATATACTGCAGGTGTTCCTATAACAGTGCTGTCAGTTCAGCTAATTAGAATACAGACGAGGAATGTGGGCAACCTGTAACGCTCCATTGTTTCCTCAGACAAAAATATAATGAAGTATAATGTCTTCCTCCCATTGGAGAGTAATGAAGAACAAAACTAATTTGCTGGACCAAAAATTAATTAGACACATCAGATTTGATTGCACTGTTACTCTGAAAGTTTGCAGCTGGTTCTCATATTATCACACGAACAATGAGTCGAACCACAAATAAGCCATTAAAAGAACATATAGAGCCCTATTCAGAACCATTGTGCTAAGTTCTCTCTCTCTCTCTTTCTCTCTCCCTCTCTCTCCAAGCCACCTTTGACTTCCTTCTTAGGACTGCTCCCTTTGAAATGTCCACTCTGTCCTAAACAAAGACCTTTTTGGGTGCAGGATTTATTCTACTTCTGCCTGGTGTTCATAGGTATGGCTCAATCCTCTTCATCTGTCCATTTAAGCAACCCTCATTTTCTCCATTGCAAAGGATGTGATGGTTGAGTGGGCTACTCTCTTTCCCATTCTGTGACTTTTTTAGTTACTTCTCCTCCCTTTTAAATGTAATATATTATTTCTTTCCTTTCTCCTTCCCTGTGGTTTTCTTCACCTCAGGCGTATGTTTAATATGGATGGTAATTCTTCAAGGCAAGAACCATATCTATTCTGTGTTTTATGCAGCTTCAAAGCTGTACAGATGATACCTACTAGTCAGAATAATTAACTACCAAAAGAAGGAAAAAATATAATTTTAGAAATGATTGAAATGATGTAGGATCAATGTTCTGGACTGGAAAAGAAAGACATATCCTTCTTTTATTCTGGTCTTCTATGCAATCCATAACTGGCTCAACAAAACTGCAGCATAGCAGACCTGGACAGAGAGTGAATGTGGTAAAATTTGGAACTCATATCAGGGAGACATGAATTCAATATATACCTCACTGGGTTACCATTCAGGTAAGACAGTCTGACATAGGCTATGCTGAGTTCCTTGAAAGAAGAATGAAGTAAAATGAAACAGAAAGCCAGTTGCATGATACCAGTTTATCTCATTTGATTCCCATTCTTCCTTCAAGACACATAAAAAATATGTCAGTCCATTATATCCCCACAATAACTGTGAAACAGGATAAACTGAAAAGTTCGTCATAGCTGGGTGGTGATTTGAACACAGGTCTTCCTGGGGCATTGTATCGAGTCTCTATCAGGTCCGGCTAGACAGCAGATTTTGGATCTAGTTTTTCCTCTAAATTAGAAATTTCTGAGAAAGAGCATAGCTGTTTGATGTCTGTCTATCATTCCTATCTCTCAGAAATATTTAATTTCAGAGGAATATTACAGATGCATTTTAAAACATCAATTTGGGGCTCATTTATACATTCAGTCATGTTTTACAGCTGCATTGGAACTGTAGAATTTACACTGAAGATTCTGAACTTGGGTTATCCCAAACATAACAACCTTCTAAGATGTAGGAAAACTAGCACATCACAGCAGCAGGCAGATGTGAATCTCCTTCTCTAATGTACTGTTTTCTAAGTTCAGCATAGTAATTGTTTAAGGGGTAAAGAGGGGTTAAACTTACAGTCCCCATACAATCTGAAGAACTACATCATGATATTATCTAAATGCACAGATTGGTAATTATTTAACCGGAAAGATTTTCTCTGTTTCAAACATTTTAGCACAGCAGTGTAGCACACATCTAATGCAGCTGTCTGGTATATTTTCCCCTACCCCTATTCAGTTTCAATTTATGCCTAAGAAGTATCTCAGAAGGGTAAAGTTCTAGACTGGCCTCAGGTCATGAAATTAATTCAGCATGGAAACAACTAATAGGAAACACACATTCAAAAGAAAAAATATGGTATTACCAGCTTTCCACATTATTTGGACAAGACCTCTTTGTGCTTTGGCACAGAACAGTATAGACCATCTGCTTAGAATAGCTGAGAAATGCTAAACCTCAAATGCTCAAAAAACAAACTTTAAACAATGGCCTTAGGCGCCAGCAACATAAGTAAGGCAATATTCTAGCAATCTTGAGAGATCTATTCTATAAATATACAAAGCTGCTGAAGTGAATAAATTCATAATGCAACATTAGTTTCATGCAACAATCAACTTTTTAATGTATTTCAAGAAAATTGCTCTTACCTGTTTTTATTTTGAGATGTTTGCCATGGAGGAAGAGAGATTTGACACATGACTATATTTTACATATTCTGTTGCTGTTTGTGAAACGAGCGATGGGATTCTAATGGCACAAAACAATGAGGCTAACAATCACTTACCAATTATTATTGGCTGTGGTTCGCTTTTCACTCCAACACCAGCACTGGTACTTGCTGCAACTTCTACTCTGTACTGAATGCCTGGGTACAGGCCTCCAATAACAACAGACCGAATGGCAGCATCCACAGTTTTGTTGATGTGAAACCTTGTTTCATTACCTAAGCACCAGATCTGAAAATAGAGGAAACGATGACAGTGTAACTTGTTTCACACATATTTGGGAGAGAATACTATAAAATTAAAAACCTGTAAAAATCTGCCTCTGTGGTTGCCCCAGAGCTGTAGAATTTTTTTGCCCTAAAAGGTTCATTTGATCCCATACGTACTGGTGTTTCACTGAGGAGTGAAAACTTCTCTATTTTCCAGAATTTTTAACTGATACAATTGTCTTAATTGTTTTTGGAACGTTGATATTTTCTTGTTTTTTAATACCAATATTTCTTGTTTTTATACTAATATTTTGAATGTTGTTTCAACAACTTTTCTGATTGTAGACTCCCCCTCAGTTATTTATTTATTGCGCATACTGCTATGCTGTCTCTTCAGAGTTCTGCTCAAGGCAGCTTACAATTCAAATCACCAATATTGAAAACAAGCCATTAAAAAAGCCGCTGCACATAAGCAGCATGAAGGCTATTCCATAAAACAGAAGCAGACCATTAAAAAGCTGATAAGATAAAACCATTAATTAAATCCCTGTGTAAAATTATGCATTTGGGCATGATGCCTAAAAGAAAGCAAAGTAGATTCCATGGTAGCATTTAGTGGAGACCATTCCAAAGGTGAGGTGCCACCACAGAACATACCCTGTCCCTAGTCACCACCCACCTCTGAAGACAGGACCAATGCTCCCTCTAAGCTGTAGAGTCTTGTGAGAAAAATTCTACTTTGTGAGCTACTGGCATTAAAGTTGTGAGCAAATGATTTGGCAACTGCATAAATTAGTTTGCTCTGGAGCCATCCTTCCTGAGCTAAGACAAAAAGGTGTGAGCCAGAGGCTAAACAACTGTGAGCTAGCTCACACTAACTCAGCTTAGAGGGAATATTGGCAGGACCACAGAGAGCAGGGCTTGAGAGCCAAAATGCTGGGTTAGATAGAAAGGGAGGAAATGGTCCTACAGGTACCCTGGCCACAAACTATTTAGGCTCTTACAGGGAAGAACCATCTTTTTGGATTGTACTTGATTCCTGTAGCCATCCCGACAGTAGCCTGGCTGCCACATTTTGGACCAACTGAAGGTTCTGAACCATTTTCAAAGGCATCTCCACACAGGGCACATTACAGCAATCTAATCTGGATGGCATCAGAGCATCGATCACTGTGGTCAGAGCATACTTTTTGAGGAACGGCCATAGCTGGTGAACAAGGCAGATCTGGTAAAAGGAGCAATGTGCTATGGAGGCAGAGGTCGATTCGGGGGGGATCGCGGGGGATCGCAGTTCCCCCGGGTAAGGTGCGGGGGGCGGGGCACATGATGAAGCCCCACCCCCTGCTTCCGGCCACCCCACTTCCGGCCTTCATTTAGCCAGGAGGAGGCAGGAGAAGAGAGAGGGTAAGTTGCTTCCTCCCCGCTTCTCCCCACCCCTGCCTGTCTGGGGCCAGGGAGGGCCTTGGCGGGGCTTCCTCGCACTCCCGTCGGCCTCACAGGTCCACTGCCGGGCCTTATGATGTCAGGGGGTGTGGCATATGCTAATGAGGTATGCTAAGAAGAAGAAGAAGAAGAAGAAGAGGAGGAGGAGGAGGAGGAGGAGGAGGAGGAGGAGGAGATTGGATTTATACCCCGCCCTTCACTGGAGTCTCAGAGCGGCTTACAAACTCCTTTCCCTTTCCCTCTCCAGAATATTCACCCTGTGAGGTGTGTGGGGCTGAGAGAACTCTGACACAAACTGCTCTTTCAGGTGCAGCTGTGCCAGAGCTTGTGACTGACCCAAGGTCACATCAGCAGGTGCAAGTGGAGGAGTGGGGAATCAAACCCGGTTCTCCCAGAGTAGAGTCCTCACACTTAACCACTACACCAAACTCAAGCTGTGAACCTGCTCTTTCAGGGAGAATGCAACACCCACCAGGACAGGCTGATTTTGCAGTCCCAGAGTACCTTCTCCATTGGCCAACAGCACCACAGTCTTGCCTGGATTGATCTTCAGTGTATTGGCCATCAGCTATTCCTATTGTATGCTTTATATGCATGCGGCAGGTCCTGTGATCCAGCTCCAGTATCAGCAGTTAAAATTACTTAGGTAGCAGATATTAAGAAAGACCTTTCTTTGTCTGAGACCCTAGAAAACCACTATCAGTCAACATAGGCTATACTGAGTGGGATGTCCTAGTGGTCTGACTTGTTACAAAGCAGCTTCATGGGTTCATAGAGAAAGTTCCCAGAGTTACAGTGTAGGTGGTCTATTTAACGTTGCAAAGGGTGTAGGTGAGAACACTGATGTGCATCTCAGTGGATGAGTAAGTGATTTACATGTCCATAATTGTCATCTTTTGGCACAGAATTTACTAACCTAACTTTTCACACATTTTATCATTTTTATTGAAGAGAAAATTGGTGACAGACTTATTAAGCACAAAAGTACAACAGTTTCCTCTCAATTTATTTGACCAGTTTCATCTCTATTGATACTATCAATTCATACATTAATAGATTTTAAAAACTATGCTTCATACTAAAGTCAAGAAGTTGGATTCAGCCAGCTTTTTCAGTCAGCCTCACCCAATTCAATTTCTTATTGTCATCCCATCCACGTAGAAAGCATGATCCCCATCATAGCCTTTTTGTTAAACAGGAACCTTTCCTCTATTTTTCAGTAGAAGAAAAGCTAGTTGGATCCAACCCAGGGAATATTTGCTGCTATAAGTATATATGTCCCTATACTTCCTGTCATTTCTTTTGTTACTGTGATTACTGAAATATTTCAGGAATCTAGGTTTCTGCCTTTTACTATAATTGAAGAAACACAGGAAAAGCATCTTAAAGAACTTTGGTTTGGTATGTGTCAGAATCCACACCTGCACTTTATGAACAAAAATAGATTATTTGAAGGCATTTCCTTATGTTTGATTCATAGGTTGTTGAGAGACATTGCAGGAATATAAGAAAACTACAGGAATTCTTTTTTAGTTCAAAATATGTGTATATTCAATTACTTAAATACTCAAGAATGCATTAAGTAGCACTCAAGGGTTCTCAAGAAATCATGTGTTCATCTGCAAAATTACAGTACCAAGGAACAGTGATGCTGGTCAAATGATGTAAGTGGTGCTGCCCCTGTTCAGAGTCACCCTGCTTTTCATGAAAATAATCAAGTGGAATCTCCATTGCGGGGGTCCAAGACTGTAAACTGGAGGCAGTGGAACAGGCTCTACATGTCAGGAGATTAATACAAAGTATAAATCTTTTATTGCCCTCGAGAAAACACAAGTATCTCTAATATTAAAGGGTAAGTACACCAATATCTACACCCACCTAAACGTCTATTTCTTTGAGTGGCTTTCCACACTGAGGACTATAAATGTGGAAGTAACAAGCAGTGCCCAAGTTAGCAGATGGCCATGTTTACAGATAACACATGTCAGGGCAATCAGCCATTTCACCAGTAAGTGGTTGTGTTCCCCACGCTTGGGAAGCAGAAGAAACACCATCTAGAATGTATTGATGTTGTTATGAGCATTCAAGAAGCAGTTAAATGAACAACCATCTAACAATATCTACACCTCCCACCATCCCCCCCCCAAAAAAAGAACGTCATGAAAATAATGGATATTCTACGTACACACCTAACATCAGAAATTTAGCATTAGATTCTCTGAATATGTACAAGTTAACATTCTCTGTGAATTATATTATCCTATATTCTAATAGCAAAGTCAGGATATCTTTGGATACTTATATCCGGTGACTAAAACTATGAACAGGCAAGACAGAGCTTTCTACAAACCTGAAAAGGATCCCAGGTTTGCTAAAAAATGTGAAATCTAAAAAAAATACATTGGGCAGCTTGAAAAAGATGAAAATGATAAAAGGAGCACCTGTAGTTTTACGCAACTGTTTCCCTCAGTGGCTGTTTCTAGGCAAGCATTCCAAGGGTTATTTATGTCAGTAAAAAGCAAGGGGAGAGGGCAGGGCCCTTTCCAGGTATATTTTGGCCTTTGAGGGAGGGCATCTTGGGGCCAGACCTGACTAGGATTGCCACCTCCAGTTTGGGAAATTCCTGGGGATTTTGTGGTGGAGTATGAGGAAGACAGGGTTTGGGGCTGAAGTGTGCTTGCATGCAAAAGCTTATACTTTGAATAAAATGTTGTTGGTCTTAAAGGTGTCACTGGACTCAAAATTGTTCACAATGCCACAGAGTCCACCCTCCAAAGCAGTCATTTTCTCCTGGGGATCTTTGTTGTCTGGATTTCAGTTGTAATTCTGGGAGACTGGCGGGTCCCACCTGGAGACTGGCAACCCTAGGCCTGGAAGCAACCTCTGGGTGACTTGAGACCACCCAGCTTGCATGACTCAACTAGGCCTGGCTGCTTGCTACTGTTCAATGGCAGCCACCCTATGAAAGTCAGTGTGGTGTAGCAGTTTGAGCTTCAGAGTAGAGTCTTAGAGACCCAGGTTCAAATCCCCATCTTGCTGTACAAGCTCACTGGGTGATTTTGGAGCAGTCACATACTTTCAGCCTAGCCTACCTCACAGGGTTGTTGTGAGGATTAAAAAGGAGGAGAGGAAAATAATGTAAAATGCTTTCTCACTTTGGAGAAAGGTGAGGTATAAATGAAGTCAATAAATAAATAAATATAGCTAAAGATGGGAGGCAAAGAAAAAGTAGGTTGGTGAACTGCTGAGAAGGCCAGAATGAGGCAGGTAAAGGGGAGAAGGAAAATGGAAATAGTGTGTGGAGGGGGATACAGGGGAAAGTGTGTCCCCCTACATGTGGGTCCTTGAGGGTTCCCTGTTCCCAGTGGCTGGCACCACACAACTGAGTCAAATTTTCCTAGGCTGAGGTTGCTGGTGGGCGGCTTAAGAAAGAGAGGCAGATAAAAGTAGGTTGGCTGTTGGGTGGGAAGGAGAAAGGGTTGCCAGCTCCAGGTTAGGAAATTTCTAGACATTAAGGGGGTGGAGCCTGGGGAGGGGTGGTTGAGGAGGGGAAGGACCTCAGAGGGTTATAATAGACACCACCCTCCAAAGCAGAAATTTCATCCAGGGGAACAAGGGGTGCCAATCTCCAGGTGAGGGCCAGAGATCACCTGGAATTACAACTGCTCTCCACATGACAGAGATCAGTTCCCCTGGAGAAAAAGGCTACTTTGGAGGGAGGATTCTATGGCATTATACCCTGCCGAGGCAGCTTCCCTCCTCAAACCGTGCCCTCTCAAGGCTCCACCCACAAATCTCCAGGAAGTTCCCAACTTGAAGATGGCAACCTAAAGGTGAACTGATCTCTGTAGTTGGGCAATGCATTGTGATTCTAAGAGATCTCTACATTCGTGACTCTAGAAGGAAAGAAGGAAGCAAGAAAAGGGGAGAGGCTATGGGGGCTTTCAAGAAAGAGGAAATAGTGGTGATGAGGAAATGAGATGGCTCTCCCAAGTCCTTTTAGGTTCCCACTTGTGACATACTAATCTGTAGAAATAGGAAACCTTTAGAAAGCTACAATAACCACTGTAAGGAGGATTTCTAAATGTGTAGTTTATGACTGGAGACAAAGATGTTGAGTTCTACTTTGGCCATAGCCTGTGACATTTTCAAATTTCTCTGTATGCCCAGTGGAGCCTTTAGAGTTTGTTTTTATAATATATGTTTGCCTGCCCTCAACTGAAGCAGGGCCAGTTTTACCATGAAGCAATACTGCATAGCTGCTTCAGGCAACAGATTATAAAGTGTATGCCATTTCTCTACTTCTATTATTGTCACTTTCTGTATATAGTTAAAAACAGTGAGGTTGAGTCTTAGGCAGGGTAATAAGGGTTGATGGTGTCATTTAACTTTTTGCTTCAGGTACAAAAATGTCAAAGGCTGAGAGTGATCACAAGGTCCCTTTAAACTGGGACGAATTTCAAAAGAAGGTGGCAACACAGCAAAAGAGAAGCTGCTAGGAAAAAAAGTTTAAAGCGTCACTGCATGAATATGAACTCCTGTGTGTGCCTACAGGGAATTGCTTCTTTTTAGAACAGAAATACAGCTCAAAGGGAAGCTAAAAATCCTCCTGTGACTTGGACGATTTCAATGACAATGAATTTGTAACATCAAAAATGAAACCGAGAATCATCAGAAGTCTCACACTTTTCCATGATAGCAAGCAGGTTTCTTTTTCCTCCAATAAAAGAGCATACCATGTTCATAACCTTATACTAGCTAGTATATAGATGTTTATTACATATTGTAAAAACTAGCAAAAATGGATGATCTTGAGCTAAGACATATGTCGGAGACAACAGAGGATGCTTGTTCTGTCATACAAGCTCATTGGCTGTGGTTCTCCACATGTCTCTCTAGCATTATTTAATTTAAATACTTCTTTCTTATGCTGCATTTCATTCCTACCTTGTATTCTTGAATTATCCCATTTTGATGATCTGGAGGAGGAGGATCCCAGGAAATGCTGATACTGGTGCTGTTGTGATTCCCAACTGTCAAAACTGTAACAGACTGTGGAGGGGCACTTGGAGCTATATCAAACAAGAGATTGAAAAATTGGGGGAAAAAACCTTTATTACACATTCATACCTCCAAAACAAAGTCTGAGTTCAGTGGCACTTTTAAGACCAACAAAGTTTTATTCAAGGTATAAGCTCTCATATGCATGCACACTTCTTCGGATACAGTGAAACAAGACATGCTCAACCATTACATATAGGTAGTGATGGGGGTAGTTGCCAGGAAGAGCTAGTTACAGTCAAGATGCATAATTAACTGGGAAATTATAGCTGTGATTGGATTAAAGCAGTTGGTGAGATCTGTGAATAGTAGTAAATTAGCATACAAATACAAGAGTTAACCAACAGTTGTGAGAACTGAGTTTGAGTCCAGAGGCACCTCCAAGACCAACAAAATTCAATTTGGGGTATAAGCAAAAATTGAGAGACTTAGCATTTGAAGATGCACACTTCTGAGCTCGGCGGTTTTATGGCGCTTCGGCACGGTCGGGTTTCGGACGGGCTCCGAACCGACCGGCTCCCCACGTCCTTTTGGGGCTCTTCCGTTTCGGCGGCAGGGCTCCGCTTCCACTCCTGGAGGGGGGGAAGTTGTAGGGGGCTTGCCGGGCCCCCCCCCCGCTGACTCCAAATCGCGGGGGGTGTTGCCGGCCGCCCTGAAGCAGAGGACGAGGAGGAGGAGCGCGGAAACGTGCTCACAGAGGCGACCGAACCACTTTTAAAGCTTTTTTTTTCTCGTCTGTATTTTTTTTCCGTTTTTTCTTTTTTCCCTCGCATGATCCCATATCATGAAGAAGGAATTTCAAAAAATCCCTGAAGGAAGAACTAGAGAAATCGCTTGAAAAGGTCTGGGACAAGGTTTTTGGTGATAAACGAGGCATATATGAGGAGGGAGACTGCATTTTTGAACAGTTAAAGGAGACACAGGAGCAGGAGGAGTCACAAGAAATTAAACAAGAAGGTGATTTGCCTACCACTCTATGTCTATTCATTGAACCTGAGCCTAAAGACTTGAATTTAATGGTGTATCGTCCGAAGAAGAAGACACTTTTGAAATCAAACCTCGGGGGGGAAAGACTATTAAAACTTCACCGGAGGAAAAGACAGAAAAAAGAGAAAATAAAGTGGAGGAAAAATCTGATGAAGGTACCGAAGAAGGTCAAAGACTGCAACATTAAAAGGCGGAATTTGGATACAAAACAATACTGGGAAGTGAACTGGGAAATCAGCTTAAAAGAATATAAAACTGCAAGACATTTGAAAGAAAAAAGGCAGAATCAGAATAAAAAAGAAATGGTACACAAGGTGAAGGCAAAGGATTCTTACAGACCTGTGGCTAGCAGTAAATTGGTGGTTATGATAGGATGGGCAGACTTAGCTGAAAAGGAGTTAGTTTCTATGAGAAGAGTAATAGAGGCTGAAGTAAGCCCTACATGCAGAGATTGAACTGCAATACTATTCTTTCTGAAGCGTTACATTTAGAGGTGTCCTATGAAGACAGAAAGAGAGACAATATAATTATTTTATAGTTAATTTGAGCCAACTTTGGATTCGTATATATGTACAACAGATTTAATTTAAGAGGGATGGGAAGAGATCAAACATACTATGTTTTGTATTAACAATGTAAATTGTGTGTATTAATTTCAGCAAATTAATTCCTGGTTAAGCAATGATAAGTAGATGGGAACATTTAATGTTTAGCAGAGCAAGAGTAAGCTAGCTGGAAACAAACAAATGAAGTTTGAGTTATATAGAGAAATAAGGAATATAAGATTAGAACTAAGCATAACTATGATTGAGGTGTTATGGGAAACTATGGATCAACAGCTTTTGAAGTGGTGTATGTTGGTGGTGGTGATGTGGGTGGTGGGTGTATATGTTTGTATTTGTTTGGTTGTTTGTTTATTTTTGGAAAATCAATAAAAATATTATTATTAAAAAAAAAAGAAGATGCACACTTCTTAGATACATTGAAACATATTTCCTCAAATGTTACATATAAGTAGTATAGGGGTTAGTTGCCAGAAAGGGCTAGTTAGAGTCAAGATAACTGAACAATAAATACAGCTAAGATCAGAATAATGCATTTGAAAAGATCTATGCATAGCAGCAAATTAGCATACAGATAATAAAAGAGTTAACAACAGAAGTGAGAACTAAGTTCATCCAGTGGCACCTTTAAAACCAACAAAGTTTAATTCTGGGTATAAGCGAGAACTAGGTGACTTAGCATGTGTAGTGAGATAAGAAGCTGATATCTCTGTTAAGCCCTGGGGGGTTCAACAAAGCCAGAGAAAACCTGTTGCAAGATAGGCCCAAAAGAGACAATAACAGAACACCACTAGTAGTCACATGCAGATCTCAGCTCAAAACAGTTCAACACACATAATGACTTAAAACCTCCTTCGAATGACTCCCAGTATTGAAAGAGCAGCCGGGAAGAGAAGCGGGGAGAAAAAACTGTGTAAAAGCTGCTAGCAGGGTGTATAGCAATTTTTTTTTTAAAAAATGGCATTTGAAATAGAGGAAACGGATGAATGGGAAAATATACAAATCTTGCAACTCACCTATGAACAGTTTAAAAAATTCTTATGTGAGGAGAATAAACAAGCAGTTAATGCGACGTGTGAGAATCTCAGGGAGAAACCACTGAGTTCCTGTTTAAATGGGAAGGACGAGGAAGAGCTTTTGCTACCTCAGCAAGGTATTGATAAAAAAAACAGAATGTAATCAAGAAAACGTACCACAAGATATAGTGACTCTACCTACAACAGGATTTGAGAACCAAATAAATCAAGTGGACAGTACAAAGAAACCAACAAGGAACAATTTAGAGTTAGAAATAATAAAAGGAGGCTACCAAAACTCACCACGTAACAAGCTGACCAAATTGGCTAAATGGAAAATGCGGAAACATACAAGGAAAAATATCAAACACACCAGAGCTAAGAAAAGAAAAAAGCTATTGGAAAGACATATTCTAGAAGCATGCTGGAAGTAAAATGGCAAGAGTTGAAAAAGTAACTTTATATTTACAAAGAACTAAGACACTTAAATATGGTTCTGGCAAAAAAGAAGCTATAGAAAATAAAGAAAAGAATAATGCAATACGATTTGAACTTTGGATCATGTTTTTCTTAATGTCTGTGAATAATGATGAATGGTTGGGAAACATATCAGTGTTATTTGTTGGTTTATTTAATTTCCATATGGATATTGTTTAATACTGAATGTAAGTAAATTTGAGTTAGATTCAAATAATTATGCTAGTTATATTAGTTTAAACAGATGTTAGGCTGCAAAATAAGAAATGAAATAAGGAATTATGATGCAGCTTTATTTTAAGTTGGAATTTTGGATAACGTTTTTCTTAATGTCTGTGAGTAATGATGAACAGTTGGGAAACATATCAAATGTTACTTGATGGCTTATTTAATTTTTATATGGATATTGTTTAATACTGAACGTAAGCAAATTTGAGTTGGATGCTAAGAAATGTACTAGTTATATTAGTTTAAACAGTTGACGGGTTGCAAAATAAGAAATAATGAAAGATGAGGTGACAGGATACCTGCTATGTGATTGCTATACAAGAATAGGTGCCGTTCTTGGTAAAGTAGTAAGTATAATTTTCGGTAGTGCCATAAAGAAGGTTATTTGTTAAATCTAACTACCATACGTTATAGGAAAATAAATATTTATAGGAAAATAAATATTTGTAGCATTAATTAATTGAAAATTAGATTAACTGAATGTTTTTGTTAGAAAAAACTATATACAGGCAAATTGGTGTTGGTGTTGGTTTTCATTTCAGAACTTAGAAAATTATAATAGAAGTAAATAGTAAGAGTAGAAAGCAAGAATGACTAAAACTCATGAGGAGATTTGATACGTTAGGTATCATTTTTGGTAAAATAAATTTCTTTGTTTAAGGTTTTTTGAGGTCAAATAATAAGTAGATGGTTTAAGTGTAATAGAAGGTAATAGCCATATCTTAAATGGAAAATATATATATTTGCAAAATTAACTATATGGAAGTCAGTCTAATTGAATGAATTTATTCGAAAGATTCAGAAATTTGTGGTATATGGTTGAGAAAACAAAATTAAGTTGAATTTATCATGTTATGTTCTGTTAGAATATGTTGGAGAGTTCAAGATGAACATGTCTCTCTGTGTATATGTCATCATGTCCTTTTTCATGTTTAAAAACCAATAAATATATATATATTTAAAAAACTTTCTTGTTCTGCCATGCTTTTAAGGGTCAAACCTGTGTTTGATTTTAGATCTGCTGGTTTGTTTGTGTATTTTATTGAGTTTTCTTTTAGTGTTTGCTTTATAATTTGTATTCTTGTACTGCTGTATATACTTTGAAAATTTATAGTGAAAAGCATATACAAAAACTTTCCAAAGGCACTAGAGGAAGACAGTTCACAGCACAGATAACTGCTTGACTACTGTTATGCAACATCACAACTTTTGCCTTTGTTCCATTAGCAATAGTTTCCATACACTGGCGAGAAATTTTAAGAGAAAAGGAAAATGCAGTGGTATTCATGTACAAACTAAAAGAATCTCTAAATTATGGCTAATGAAACAGAAAGAAACAGAAATTCTGCAAACTGGCCAGGCTCTAGCATGTAAGTTTTATCAAGCTAAAAAAGCCAGAACATCGTATTCACAATTATTATAGAATCTGTCTATCCATCTTCTTCTTTCTAGTAAATACAGCTAGGTTTGCAACATCATGCAACTATACAAAAAATTAATGAATCTTCAACTAGAGGGACATTTGGAGTTGGGAAAAAGTCATGCATTCTTCCTGTTGGCCTCTCCAAGAAATTGGAAGTAATTGTTCAGTATTTAAGAGAACTGTTGCATATACTGTAATGTGGAGTTGAGAATTTGGGTTTTTTTGTAAACAATATGGCCATTTTATATGTATATGCATATATAATTCTATATATATGCATATATAGTTCTATATAATTTAACTACTCTATCTGCTCATGTTCAATAGTACTACTTTAAAAGCTGACACCATAATATAAATTAAACCACTTCTCTGACAGTGTTGCAGTTATTAAATGGACCACACTGAAAAATAACATTTTAAAACCATTTTCTCATTTCCCTTGCTGCTGACTTGTGGAGAACACCATGCCTGATTCTTGACAGGTCAATTATTCCAGTGCTCAGCTACTTCCCACAGATATTAAAGCACCCAAATCGCTGCTCATCTTTTCCAGACACAACCAAACAGAATTCAATTTGTTACTTTCACAAGGCCAAAGATGTAGGAGATGAATGGATGCTGAATTGTGACAAATGTTTAGACTTTGGGGGGCGGGGGAGAGAAACTTGTGGTAAAATAGATTTTTAGGGTTAGCCCTCAGAAGAAATATTTCTTCTAAAATTCAATTCACTGAAAAACTATATACTTATTTTAAGTTTTTCCCTTTACTAGAAATAAATATTCTAACACTGAAAAGTACAAAATTCATATCATACTTGCAAATTATTTCTAAAAGATTTTATTCCTATTAGAAACATTATTTTTTCCAGAAAAAGAATCATGCAGCAATGCATAAAATATGATACTTTTAAAAATATTGTCCTGTTTTTCTCTGAAAAGTTAATATTCAAAAATCTATTTGGGATTATGTCTACAAATGAATAAAGCCATAATAATCACAAAGATAATTCAATATCTGAAGAAAATGTTCATAGAATGACACCTTGTGAATGCAATATTTTTTCCACCTAACTAGCCTATAAATAGTTTTCTACTCAAGCAGATATATACTTTACAGGGGGGGGGTGCTGTTTTTTTACACAGCACCTGACATTTAACTGTTGACAGTACAATTTGTTGTAGTCTTTTGCTGTGCTGAAGGAGACAACAACATGCAGAGTGTCTGAAGGTTACATTAATCTACACAATGGCATATGTGTTGTGAGTTTAACATAACTGTAGGCAGGAAAAATAGCTGCTGTTTTTAAAGTTACTCTACAAGAAGTAGCCTTTATCATAGGAGGTTACCTGACAGATTCTACAGGGAGAGAGTAGTTTTCAGTGAAAATTTCACTCATTCCTTAAGAACCTCACATAATTAGAACAGAAAAATAGAGGTACTTTTTTACTTCCCTCTCTTATTTAGCAGCTCTTGATTTTACATAAAGAAAAACAGATTAAATAGCTACATAAGCAAAAAGATGCATAAGCAAATGTTTCTGCTCTGCCGGATGAATGTGTTGTCTAATTGTTAGGTGAAATCTTGTCTAATTTGACCATTTTTGTGCAGAATACAGAAACCAAGTGCAGCATAGCTATATCAGACTAATCGTCCATCTAGTCCAGCATCATTTCTCATAAGAACCAGAAAGATGTTTCACAAGGACACAAAGAAAACAGACTTCCCTCATTGTCATATCCCACCAACAAATGTCTGGAAGAACACCTTTGCTGAGTATGGTGTTTCCATTTAACTGCTGCAGTCATTACTACATCTTTGGACAATGAATTATACAAGTTGATTACTTTCTTCTGTTTATCCTACTTCTTCCTTCACCTATCAATTATTATGGTAATTCTGATTTCTAACATAATGTAAAATGAGACAAATTTCCTTTTATTAATTTTCTTCTCTTCATTCATAATTTTATAAACCTGTTAGGTCTGTCCCCCTACATCTGGTAGTCATCTTTTCCCTGAATTAAGATGTCCCCAAAGCTTTAGCCTTTCTAAATGTAAGGTACTCCAAACCTTTGATCATCTTTGTCTTTTCTCTTCCAAATCTTGCTTAGCTGTATCACATCCCTTTTGATATGAGGCAAACTAAACTGTACATAGTATTCCAAATGTAGCTGTAACGTTACAACAGCTGTTGATCTTCAGTTCTTCCTAGTAAAACTCAAACATGGAATCTGTCTCTTGTATCACTAAGCTTTTCCTGAGCACCCAGCATGACTCCCAGATCTTGTTGTTCTGTATGTCTGTTTACTCTGCTCTAGGAATTTAACTTTAGTTTAATTCCAATTTAGAATCCCAGTTTGTGTGCAGTAAACAACCTCTAGTTCACTGAGGTGCCTGCATTCAGATGATGTGGTGAATTGGAACTTGACCATACTGGGAAGCTTTGTACTGAATTGTGCATAAGAGGAGAGATGTGGGAGGTGTCAGAGCCAAGCACAAACACAGCTGAAAATAAAACCAATGAGAGTTTATTTGCAGCTTATCTCGATGTCTAAATATAGTTGGACTTACCTTCTTCAGTGGTTCGGGCAGATTTTGCTTCACTGTCCATTCCTTGGAACTCATTGAAATAAGGCCGAACTTTAATTTCATATGTAACTCCTTTTTTCAAGTTCACAAGGACAGCACTGCGCTCAGTGGGAACTTTGACTTCCAGGGTCTGCCATGCAGTTGGAGAGGACAGGCCTGATGTCTGGCGATATATGACCCGATAACCTTGAATGAATTGGGATTGACGATCAACCTAAAACAATATTAACACAGGCATTTCTACCAGTGCATCAAATAATTTGACTTCCTCATACTGATTTATTAACAACTGAGGATTCAACTGTATGAGGCAGTACATCAGGGCTCTCATAGGCACCAGGAAACACCTAAGTGAGCACCAAATTACCCATGGACACCGTGCCAAGGACCACAGCGGTATGTGCATCCTGTTCCATAAAACAAATGTTCAGAATTTATGGCACTGGGGAGGTCACAAAAATTTCTCCCTTCCAGAATTAGCAGGACTGAACTCAGTTTAGAGTGCAGAGGTGCTTACATAATACAAAACTTTGTTTCTGAAAAAGTAAAATGTCTCTGCAGAATGGGCAAGCCAAGTATCAAATAAAAGTATGTAAGTGACACATTCAATGTATCTGTGTAAACATACAGCTGGCTGGGTGGTTAATACTAGCCTCGGAAAGACGATTCGACAAGGAGGATTTTCTTCACTCTTGACAGTTTGCTAAGCTCATCAAAGATTATCCAGCATTACAGTTCTATTAGTTTGGGCAATATCAAGAATGAGTGAGTGCAAGGTTAAAGACCTAAACCATTTCCCCAGTATCAATTATCTTTACTAAACTCTCTTTACACTGTTCATTAACGTCTTCAGTTGGGGATCAAGTTCTTATGGGGGGGGGAGACCAACAAAAGGTAAACAAGCAACTGATACCAAATTTATTAGAACAAGGCATAATGGCCTTTCATCAAAAACTGCCATTGTTAAAAACTTTGCAACATATGATAGGACAACGTTAACCTTGCATTTTATAAACTTCTCTAAATACACTTTGAGGGAATTTATGCAATGAAAGAAGGGCATAACTCACAATAATAGCTTGTTAATGCTGAAGGAATCAAGCTGTGTTTTTAAGAAGAACATTAAGCAGCTGCTTGCAAATGAAGGGAGTGAGTAAATCAGGACAAATTGTTTTTATTCACATTTGAGTTTCATTAATTAAATGTTTTATGGACATAGAGCCTTCATGAACCTAGTGTTTACTACAAAGCACTCTTTCAACTCTTAGTTGTTCATCATATGTACACTTAACCTACAGTAGTCATTGTATGCAATTATTAATGAAGTAATAAAAGCTGTAATGTTTGTCCACTTATTAAACATACAATGGATGAATTATTTGACTTTTATGGTCCTTGCTTATCTTAGGTAGGGTGAAGGCAGTGAAAAAATGTTAATGTCACTTCACATGTGCAGAAAGAAGTGCAACTATGGAAGTAAGAGGAGTGGGTGCCTGGGGAGGAAGAAACCCCCGATCCAAGACACTAGGATGGATTTTTAGGTCTCAGTTTTAACCAGAGATTCTTGGCTTTCTGTATCTTTGTGTACAAAATATCAGCATAATTATAGATATACATATACATATACATTGATGTTTTCAAACCTGTAAAATATAGTTTGAGCTCTGATCTTGTATCTAAATTGTGGGAGTGGTTTTGAGCCTCTTGGTCACATTAGATTGGGCTACAAAGCTCAAGATACCCTGATGTCACTGGTGACTTCACCATTGGTCCCGGTAACTAGGTTGCTAAAGAGAACAGGATGTAGGTCTGATACTTGCTGCTCTGTATCAGATTTGACTGCTACCTCCCGCTTCTTCTACAGAATGATCTTGTTCCTTAAAACTTTCTTCTTAGATCCAAATACCTCTATTTCCCTCTATTCTTCTTTTATGCTCACTAAATCTCATTTTCTTCTTCTACTTTTAAAAAATATTTCCATTTGTCTTCTCTTTTTTCCTCTTTCCTCTTGGACACAGTTCAACATTCCCTTTCAATACTATGGTTTAACCATATGACATACATAGTACTTCTAATAAGTAGTTGCGACCATCTGCAGAGTGATTGTCCCTCCCCCTGATTAATCACAGGTAGCTGACATTCACTGGAAGGACTCCTGACTGTGCAAGCTTGTATGGCTTAGACTGGAGTAACTTTGCAAAGGATTGCACCATTGGTCAGTCAGTTTCAGATCAGCTTGAGTTCTTGCACCTGTCAGTCAAGCACTGTTTGTTTTATGTATTGGGACTGGGACATTCCAGGACTGTTTCTACTAGAGACTAGCTAAGCTTGGAGCTCTAGAACAAAAGCCCACCAGGACTCTGGAGGTGGCCAATGGGGAAGTAATGGTTCTGATAATGGCCTGTCCTTGGTAGTTGTTTGGGAAGTGGGTGAAGTTGCATGCTATTTAACAGGCCTGTTGTCCTGGCACTTTGTCTTTGTCTTGTTCTTGCTAAATCACCAATAAAGCAGAGCTGATAACTATGCTTGGGGTCAGACCATCCATGGAACCCAGTATTTAACAGTTTGGCAAGTGTGGACGGGGAGAGAGAACAGAACACAGCTGTGAGAATGGGTTTGTAAGCTAAACAGTGGAATAGGTCTATACAGTTAGAGCAACAACTGCAAAATAATTCACCACTGTGCATGGTCTAGCTCTTTTGGATTGTGGCCTTTTATGTTATAATAATATGTATTCCAGAGTTCATGCAATGAATGTAAAGGGTTATGGTACCACTGGGACACAGAAATGTCACACTGCATATGGGGAAATGATGTTACTGTGGTAAAAGATAACAGCAGTAAGTATCCCATGGAACACCGATAACATTTTATTGAATATTTGATTAATATGCTTCATTTCTTCACAAGAGGCAACTCTAAATATATTTTCATTATGTGACAAAAAAACCTTCCTTCTGGGGACAATAAAGATGCTGTCTATAGCTACAGTCTCCAAAATGATGGTTTGGAAACTGGACATCAATCATTACAGCTTTCTAAATGAATCATAATTCTGGATGAAGTATGTACCCGCTTAAAAATATTCTGGAGCATAATGCTATTCTACTTGTTTACCCACAGCAGCCTTGGGAAGCTACAGCACATAAAAGAGACCTTTGAGAGAAAGAGAGGGATAGAGAGAGTACAAGCAATTTCTATGGGGGTTTCATGGTTGTTCTTGTCCCGTGGATGAAGCAGAAGATATTTGCCAGTCCTAACAGCCATTTCTCTCCTAATCAGTATTATACAGTAGTTGATGTGCCCTGTCCATTTAGTAGATTATCAGTGCTAGAATTTTAGCACTGTGGGGTGGAGGTGCAGGAAAGGGGAGCGGTGCCGTTCAGCGGATGAGCAGATACTTCCAAAACAAGAAGCCCCAGCATCTCCAGTTAAAGGATCTCAGGTGTTAAAAAACAAACATCCATTGCCTAAGACCCTGAACAGTAACTGCAACTCTGAGTTGACATTATTGAGCTATAGGGCTCAATAGTATGGCTACTGAGGTATCATGAGAAATAACAGTGTGAGCTGTTCAATAGTATGGCTACTGAGGTATCATGAGCAATAACTTGAACAGTGTGTGAAGCTAATCCATTGGGGGTAAAGAAATACAAGTCTACTATGTGGAACATGCTGACTTCTTAACTTCACAAGCAGACCAGTCACAGACATTGTTCTGCAATAGTACTGCTCATGCTGATATTACAATAGCATGCCTAGAGGCTATAAACAACTCAGCTTAATATTTTCCTGGCTCTGCTAGATGGTGGAACACTCTATGTACAGGCGATGTACAAAGTCAAGCTAGCATCAGCCACTTACTTCTGACTTCTTCAGTCTGCCAGAGAAATGATTTATCTCAGGGCTTAGAATAAACTACTCCTATTCTAGAGACATCACAAAAGGTGAAAACATGGACTATACATACTTACACTGCTTGACATATAACTACAGTACAGTAATTTTCATATATTCTTCTGATCCCTGATCTTCCATCGTGTGCCATTAAGGTACCATAAAAGAAACAAATTAATTGGGTTGACCAGGAACAAAAATGGCCATAACACAAAGGCTGACACAGACAGCATACAAAGGGATCCACACATCCCTATTCCTGTCATATCCTGGTTTGAAACGAACAGTGTACCTGCCCAGGAAAGTTCCCTGCCTTCTCAAGCAGTGGAAAGCAGATGCCAGCACCAATAACCACTGCAGCCAAATGAACAAACTTGGGATTGTCAGGGAATATCTGTATAATTCAAACTTTATCTCCTATCTATAAAATGAGAACATTAATAACCTAACTCATGTGGCAGTTTTGTGGACAAATGCAATAATGCAAACAAAATTGCTAATAAACATAATATATCCTTAATAAATGGCTTTGCTAAGAGGTTCTATAACCAAGCTACAACATGATCATCATGGCCTTTTTTCCTTAGTTGTGCTATTATTAAATGTCCAATTTAAATTTTAAAATAGTATACCACTAGATGGTCAGCATAGGGCTATTTAAATACTATCAGTTCAGTCCTAAACAGTTACATCCTTCTAAGCCCACTGAGAAAGTGTAACTCTGTTTAGGATTGCTGCATACAAACACTATGCATACAAATACATTCTTGCCTCAAACCCTATAGCTGTTATTTATAAATAGCCTTCCTGAAATCACCAATTATGAAAAAAAATGTTTTCAACTCCCAGCTTCTAGTGAAATTTCAAAACTGTCATTTATACATTATACTTCCACCAAAAATATAATGCAATATAATTTCCTTGCCAAATCCAGTGGTTTAAGAAATTATTTTCAGTGGTATATTTATAAAGATAAGAGCTGATTTAAAGCTATAATGCAGAATTTATTACAACTGCCAATGATCACAAGTATAGCAAAGCAAAAGAAAGAAAGAAAGAAAGAAAGAAAGAAAGAAAGAAAGAAAGAAAGAAAGAAAGAAAGAAAGAAAGAAATTATACTATTGGCTTCTAAACGATTTTTTCTTGTACTGTGGAAACAAAAGAGATTTTTCACATTCACCCACTATTTCATCACTTTTTGAAGTCTTCTGTAATAAAATGAACTAATCATATGTAGCTTTCAGTAACTGTTATGCATTTATCTTAGAGAAGTTATAATTTCTATGTTAACTAAGACAATAGAAGGCCACATGTTAT